ACGAAATGTGCCTCCTTTAGCTAGCCATGTCGGAATATCCTACGTTCTCTCCCTCTCACCTCTGCTTGGAGAGTAACATTTTATATCAATGCCAGTTTGCATTCCGTATTAGAACGTTCTCTCAAACACAACTACTGGTAGTGTTGTAAATGTGCCTATTTGGCCATAAATTCATAATGTTTAAAAATACCAATGCAGATTTCTTCAAATCCAAAAAACTGAAGTCTTCTTTTTAAAAGAAATTGATTCTATGCTACTGTTACTAACCAGACTACATGCCAACTACTGTATAAGAAGACAGTACAAAATACACTAGCAGTATCTGACAGCCAAAAGCTAACCAAAGACTCTTTCTAACAAGCCCCCTAACAGCATTTCTTGAATCCTGGTCTTCTTCTAATTTGTCACAAGCAGAGGAAAACCTGTAGGCCACTGCTGTGTGGTGTAGAGCTCCCATCTGGAGCATGTTTGAAAAGCTCAAAGTTGCCAGCTTGCCATGAGCCACACTGGGCCCTGTTGGGATTTCAACCCAGCATGACCGCTAAGCCACAAAACCAACTATTCATTTCAGAAAGGGAAGAAAAAAACATTGTACACTCAGTCACCTAAAGTTGCTCTGAGCCGAACACTGCTCAGCGACATTTTGGAATGTCTTGAAGTTGAACCATAAATTTGTGATTGCAAGGGGGAATGCTGGCTAGAACAGACCCCTGGTTAGTCCTAAGCACCACCATGCCTGGCTCCTGTTGTGCACTGTTGGGCACAGGTTACCCTGCATCTGACCCAAGCTACAGTACCAAATTTTCTGGAACCAGAAACCCCCCTGAAGAGAAAAGATGCCTCAAAAGTTGAAGGATGTAGAAGAGCAAGAAGGAAAGGCCTCTTTTTTTTTTAATGGAAACTATTAAAAGTTGAGAGCACAACACACAGGAACTTCATGTTTTAGTCATGTTTCCTCTACTGTGGCTACACTTCCTCCATTCCTGACACAAGAATCAAACGTAACAGACTAAGTTTGCATGTGCTGGCAGCAGGGCATCCTATGGCTTGTTTAGGCAGATATATGAGTTTCCCTCACGTCAATCCCTCCAAATATGTTTCTCGACAGTTTAAGTTGCTTCTCCTAAATGTAGCATGTGCATGTTGAGAAAAACAGAAGGCATTGTGTCTAGAATTTCTGCTCATATTTTTTATGGGCAGTCAGATCATTTGTGCTGTATCATATGTAAAGAAACTGATCAGGAAAATGCCTATTTTGGTAGTCAAGCCCATGGGCACAAATTTGATCTGATATCCAAGCCTGAAAAAAAGGGCTTATCAATCTCAGAATAACTTAAAACGCAAGATAAAGAAATAACTCTCCCGAAGGATATAGCACTAAACGTGGCTATGTGTTATTTCTGGAATAAAACCAACAAGGCCGAGCACACGAAACGTGCCACACGCACGTGTATGTTCAGTCTAGTCTGTGCCAAAAACATGACATGGATCCCCAGTAGTCACCACATGTGTGATCAAGTATTCTCAAATTATGCATGATGAATTGTCAACATGACATAATATCTTATCAATTGTAAACATACTCAAAACAACACGAAGATACACTTATACAGCAATACAAGTCTAGACAAATATATAAAGAAACCATACTGGGATGTAAAATCACTATATAGCACATGTATATGTTACAGTAAATTATTTAATACCCAGCATGTAAAAGGACAAGGAGCTTCAACATCTGAAAATATATGTTGTGTTCTTCGTGCTTTCACGTTTTTACTCTGTAATTTTTGTCAAAAACTGTAAAATTACTGGCTGGGAATTACGTCTTATCTGGTTTAGACTACAGACATATGGAAAGCCAGTTTCTAACATTCTGTTGTGCTACGGCAGCGACACTTTGCGAGGCAAACCTCGGAGCAGGATCGGGGAAGCGACCCCACGAAATTGCGGGAATACCTCGCCCTGTCTTTCGCACGGTTCGCCGCAACGTGCGTTCCTCTAACATCGCGGATTCTAAGGGTGACGACAAAAATGCGGTCGGAGCGAGACCTTGGCCTCATACCATTTCAAAATACCGACACTAAACCAACTCGGATTATATACATGATTCCGACAACAACTAAAATGGCCGAGAAACACACTGACACTGCCAGCGGAGGCACATTCCATTTTTCCTCGGAGCACAGCAATTCCACTCACCGAGAAGCTTCTTCACCTCGTCCCCGCTGAGGTACAGGTTCATGCTTCCTCTGGCCATCGGGTACAACATCCCTAGCAGCGCCAGGACGCGTAGAAAGGCTCCGATCGTGGCCATTTTCGGAGGGGAAACCGTGCAGAGACTGACGACTCTGCTCTGTAAACCTCACAACAACCTCTGACCCGACAGACTCGCGGCAACCTCATCAATATGCAAATTACCGGCGGTTTCCAGACTCCCCTTGGCGAGATGGCACACTTTCTGTAATTATGACGTTTATAAAGGAAATAGCTTACTTTATTCTTTCCCTATAATAAGATAATCATACCAGAGTTGAAATAATGTGTGTGTTTGTACCAAAACTAACTG